AATATCAAGCAAAGGTGAAATGACAAAGGAGACAATGTATAATGGATATAAGATGTTCTCTACATTGGTTTGTTTGTATGGATAAAGATTTGGAAAATCACTTCGCATTAATATGATCAAGGTAGAAGTATGAAGATAGAGATTGAAGTGAGTGTTAGGAGTGTCAAGCCAAAATGAAGAGGATATAAGGAATCGTTAATTGGCTTGACCATATTGATGTTGATCCATATATGTCTCTATGTGAGTCAAACTGAAGCTTGATTGATCTCAACATTCATATCTAGTAGATAGTCAAGCAAGGATCACAATATTAAAAAAATGGTTTTTCGGTGGATGCTTAATATGATGTGACTTGAGTATTGCTCGATAGGGTGAAGATAGCAAGGAAAGAGCTTTGAAGAGCTAAGCGAAGGTGAAGGGCAAGCAATGGCTTGACGACCAAGGTACCATGGCTAAAGTGAAGAAGAGAGTACTTGCATTGAGTCGAGGAACTAATCTAGCTATGAGGAGTCATATTGTGTTGATGATCAAATCATTAGTGGAAGTGGCTTGAAGCCATGGATTGAGCTCACATGTGTTGAAATGGTTCACATCACATGCTCAAGGTATAATAGTAATAAGGACAATACATTCGTTGGTGGAGCCCCCAATTATAAAAGGATGCGGTGACCAACTCAAATGTGTTTAAATTCTTTGATATTTTGAATTTGAGTTTAGAAAAAGCCATACTATAAAGGGGAATACAATGCACAAGCTTTAATATGCAACCAAGTGCTCATTTACCCACCAAATATCCTTAAAGCCTTAGCCAAGACAGCAAGCTTTTCAATCCTATCTTTTGTGCTGCCTGACAGGTGAGGCACTACCGCGCTGAGGCGAGGCACTACCACACTGAGGCACTGCCGCAGTTCAGGCGAGGCACTGCCACAATTTAGGCGAGGCACTACTGCAGTTCTGTCGTAGCACTGCCGTGACTTAACTGACCGTTAGGAGCAGGGGGTATTTATACCTTCTCTTCTCTCTCACAATGGTCACCAGTTTTCAGCTCTACCATTCCCTTCCTAGGTGCGACCAGAGCAGCTCTCTCTCTCCCTCACTCACCATTGGAGCCCCTGAAGCTTCTCCTTTGATTCCCTTCCAAATCCAAGAGAGTTTGAGCCTCCAAACTGCATTAGAGAGCAGCCCCAACTGTTCTTCATCTCCTAGAGCACTTGGTTCACGTTCAAGCCGGTGGATTATGTTTGTTACTCTTGGAGCTTGCTCCTAGCCGGCTAGCACGTCGCCCGTAGAGGTTGCCAACTTGTGTGGCAGCCCCGGGAGGTTTGTAATCATCTCCATCTGCTAGTGAAATCACCCCTCATCTCAAGAGTTCATTCTTTTGACTTGAGAACGAGGATAAGGTTGAAAGAGACCAAAGCCTTTGTGGCTACCTCAACAACGTGGACATAGGAAAGCCTTAGTGGCGAGCTGAACCACGGGATAAATCGGTATCTCACTTGTGTTCTTGTGATTTGCATTGTTATACTTGTATTTGTGGTGATTCTAGAATTTGGTCCCGATCTACTTGCTCGTGCACTTCCGCCAAGATCCAGGTGGTGGAATAGGCTCTACACTATTCTAGGAACATCAGTAATTTGCTCAATCTACTTTTCCTTGGACAGTTTTTGAATTGTAGTTCGAGCTTGTCTGCAGGCGCAGCAGTGCCGCACTTTTAGTGAGGCAATGCCACAGTGCGGCGGTGTGCCGCACTTAGAATTTAACTTTCGCTGTGAGTTTATTTTAAACAAGTCTATTCACCTCCCCCCTCTAGGCGACATCAAGATCCTTTCAACTATTGCAACATCCATCTGAAACACACTTCTGAAACATCTGAAACACTTGAAGCATGCGTTTTGCAACATAGGGAAGGCCGGGACCGGTCGATTCCAAGCATTGAGTGGGAGCCGGCGGTGCGAGAGCACCATCGTCATTAGCACCACTAGCAGCCTTGGCTTTGCTGAGCAATCGACGTGCGCGACGGGTGGGAGCAGGCTGCGCGCGTCGCGGGATGGAGCGAGCCAGGCGGAGTGGGGCGGGGGTGTGCGGCGCACGACAAGGGCGAGCGACCCGGGCGAAGGCGCGTGGCACACAGTGCAGGTGGGTCGGTCAGTCCGGACGGACGCCCCTGGCATAACAATATCATTTTATTTATCATAGTCTCCTAAATTGGTTAGAATCAAACTTCAAATTGAGCTTAATCAGCCGAACTAATGTTGAAAGTCATTCAAAATCAAGTAGTTTCTATTAAAATAAAACTTCTTGATCAGATCAATTTTAAAATGAGTGACCGAACCAGCATAACTAGGAGGGGTTCTTCTTCTCCCTGATCTCTTTTCTTCTTCTTCTACTTCATCTATGTCCAAAACTTGTAGGGGCTCAAGGGGGCCCTATTGTGTTCACGGTACGGTGTTAAGAGGGCTGGAGCCCATCATGCACTGTCTCTAAATCCGTCCGTGAGCTCAACTAGCTTTTTGTCCAGACCTAATCTAATGGTACGTGTGCTGCATTACTTAGGATAGTGATGGTACATTTTGTATTTTTGCAAAGTGATACATTGCATAGTATTGTTAACAGTCACTCCAATATGCTGACAGATGTATGACCTTGGGCCACCAGCTAACTCCAAAATAGAGAACAACTCAAAACTTTCCTTCACCTTAAAAGTGGGAACTAAGCAACACAGGGTTGGTGGATCTTGAGACAGAAGCCACATGAACAAAGGAGGACCAGGAGGTGCTGCACTACAGCTCTTCACAAATGTCGAAATTCCTTGTGCGCACACAGCGCCCATGGTTTGAGCTAGCTTTGAACCATCACCATTTTCTAAAAACAAAAAAAAGTAAAGAAAGAAAGAAAGGTTCGTGGCCTAGAAAAGGTACCAAAGGCACCTACCAAGTGTCTCTGTTTGGACTTGATCATCAATTTGCTTGAACACGTCGAGCCGCACAGACGAGAGTACCAACCCGACATGCAGGAGACTCCAAACACACCAATGATCAACCACACAGCAACACGTGTACATGCATCTCTTTCCTGCAGGACATATCAACCAGCTATTGCAAGCGTTACAACAGTAGTGTCAGGTTAGCTGGTAGATTGAATTGTTGAAGATATTATTAGACCTTGGCTTTCTGGACTATTTTGTTTAAAACTTTTAGAATATAATTCAACATCCTTTTAAACTCCACTTTGAAAAATATTTAAACTGAAATATTAAAATCACTTTAGAACTATTTTCAAACTAATTAAAAACCAGAGTAATTTATTTTCTCAAACCATTTTGGAACTCTATTTTCAAACATTATTTAAGCTTATTTTTTGAAATATATTTTAAACCATTTTGAGAATCTTAAACCATTGTCAAACCTACTTTAACATTTATTTTAAAAAAGTAAGGACATTTGAAACTAAAACTTGAACTCATGTTTGAATGCAAATTTTAAATAAGCTTCTAAAACCTTACTTCCAGAAATAGAGCAAAACATACTCAAAGGTTTAGTCAAAAAGTTTTACATTCATTTTTGACTCAAATAAATTAGAGATATTTGCGGCCTTAAAAAAATGCACCTTCCTTCCATGGCTCTTTTTTTCTTGAACTATCTATAAGGTCCGAAAACAAAAATCACTTACCTGTATGGCCTTCCATCGATTTCAAGCACTTAACAGTGTTAAGTCAGAGATAAAATGGCCATTTTACCACTGGCAAAAAAAATAAAGTGTAGATTTTATTTTGTTTATTTTTTTGGCTTGGCTCGTTCTGGATCCTTGAGATAACGAGCTGAGCCAACCTCATTACCCTAGCGAGCCAGAAGGCCAGCTTGGCTTGGCTTGCTGGCCTCACAAATACAACAATTGCAACGTACGTCTGAAAATAAATGAAACATTTGAAACATGCATCTGAAACAATTACAAAAACACTTGAAACCGTTATAAACATACGTAACATCCAGATAAAACACTTGCATCATATGTGTGAAAATGTATGCAACATCTAAATAAACACATTTGCAACGTACGTCAGAAAAAACAGATGAAATATTGAGAACAGGAGCTTGCAATATACGTATACAACTATTATAACATGTGCAACATCTCGATCTACTTTTATAACATCCGTATAAAACACATGCAACATACCTCTAAAACATTTAAAACAGACACTCGCAAAGCGTAAACATTTCCCGGAGGCCACGGCCTAGCGGTCCTTGTACACAGCGACTCGACGTTGGCTGCGCGACAGGGCAGGAACGCAGCGGCCGCGGGCCGGGGCAGGGAGACAGCGGCCTCGAGCCGTACCTGGCAGGGCCTGTAGTCGAGCGCCGCAACTTGCATGGGGCTGCGCGCCTGACAGGGCAGGCAACTGCGTCGCCGCGACTCGCAGGCAGCCGCACGCACCGCACGCAGAAACCAGGAGAGGACAGCCGCGCGTCGCATCTGGTAGGGCTGAGCGACTGGCAGTCGAGCGCCGGGAGAGTAGCCGAGCACCGCGGGAGCGAAGCGGTTGTCATCCAATGCCAGGCCGATGCCCCACTGCCCTTGTACTGCCACCGCTGCTAGGCCGGCCACCACCCCCATCCATCCATCCAGATCCAAAGGGCACTAAGATTTTGCTAAGCTCAAAACCCAACCTAAGGCCCGTCCACCCCACCGGCGCTCGCTCCACGTGGCCGGCGGCGAGGAAGCTGCCGCGCCACTCCACATGCCTCACGCGCTCGCTGCCGTCCCCTAACCAAGCACGAGGAAACTGTTATTGGAGCACGCATGGACCGTGCACTTCCTCCACCTAAATCTATCTACGTATGCCGTATTAGGTATGTCACTCCATAAATTTCGCCAGAAACAAGGTTAATTAAACATTCGGAAACCCAATTATACAGACCAAATGAGCGCCACTTGTTTGTCAATACAGGCCAGGAACAAACTTCCCGGCAGTTTTAGGAGAAAAAACAAATGAAATAAAGCTACCAAACAAGATTTTTCTTCGGTACGGATACAAGAAGCTCAAGAGCAGAGCTGTTATTAGTGTTCAGATTTGCAGCCCTCAATCGCTGTAGCACTTGCTGTTGTTGCTCTTGCCACTTGCTGTTGTTGCTCTTGCTCCCCTTCCCCTCCTTCTTCAGCTTCTTTCCCCGCCGGCGGCGGCGCTCGGCGTCCTCCACCCGCCGCACGGCGCGCTCCAGTGCGTCCACGCGCTCCGCCAGAGCCCCGATCACCGTGCACTGCTGCGCGTTCTGCTCGCACAGCGCCGCAACCATCTCCATAACCTTCCGAGTGTCCAGGGCGCTGTCGGCAGTTCCGGCCTCCCCTCCCCTACTCATCACCTCGCTCGCCATCGGTTCCTGTGGGCGCGCCTCGGTGGACGCCGCCGCTGTTGTAGGCTCCGCTTCCTCCGCCACCATCTCCCACTCACCCTCCGCATCGGAACCTTCCGGCTTGTCGCCGTCAATGTTCCCGCCGTCCAGCAATTTTTCAGATTCCTCCACCACTTCTGGCGCCGTCTCGATTTCAATTCTGTCCCCGTCCACCTCCATATCCGCAGACGTCTCAGCCGCCACCTTCACCTCAATCTCACCGCCGTGCTCCGCATCGACCGGCAGCTCCGTCGCCGCCGTGCTGTTGCTCTCGCCCGCCATCTCGGCCGTCACCTCGGACTCGTTCTCCTCCGCCACGGCCTCCGAATCCGGCGCCGCCTTTGGTTCGAGGGCGTCAACGGCATCCTGCAACGCGAGGACCCGCTTGGTGACCCTCCTCCGGTACTCCCGCGCGCCGCGCACCGCGTCGAGCCGCAGCAGCATCTTCATCAGCGCCTCCCCGACGGCGATCCGCTCCCTCCCGTCCCCGCGCAGGGCCTCCGTCTCGCGGGCAACCTTCTCCACAACCTCCGCCGCCTCGCGCTCCACCTCGCGAACAGCGCGCACCGACTTCCTCGCCATGAACCCGCGCGCCGCGGCCTGCAGCCTCACCGCCGCCGCCGCCGCCGCCGCCGGCGGCGGCATCCTTGCAGCCCGGCGCTCCGGCTCCGGGTCAGACCCGACGAAGCGGACAGGGATGGAGACCGACCTCGACGACTCGACCCTGGGCCGCGGGTCCACCTTCACCGCCTCTGGCGCGGCGTCCGCGGCGGCCGGGAAGAACCCGCCGACGCCGCGGGACGGAGCCGGGTGCTGGTACTGGTAGTACGGGTCGGTGTAGTGGTACGGGGAGGTGTAGTAGTAGTCGTACGGGTCGTAGGAAAAGAAACGGCGAGACGCCATTGCTGCTGAGGCGTTGAGCTTTTTTGATCTGTGATGGTGTGATGGCAGGGGATGTTGTCACGGTGCGTATATATGGGCAACGAGTGCGAAAGTACGAGAAGGTGGTGGTCGTCCTCGGAATGTTCCGGAGCTTCGAATTGCCTGGAGCACGGGTTCGAAGTGGTTGTTTTGGAGTTCGGGAAGGTTCTGGAAATGTGGGGAAGAGGAAGAGGGGTCAACGACTCGACGCTGACGCGTGGGCCCACGTTTGTCTCCCTAGTGACCACATAGGTTGTTTGGGCCGCATAGGTTGTTTGGGCCCACGTTATCCGTGCGGTTCTAGGATGAAGCCACCAAAGAATTTCTATATTTTACTAGCACCCTCCGTAAAAGAATACAATTATGGAATGTGTGTTGATAAAAAAAACTCAAATTTGACTAAATTTATAATAAATATTATTAGTATTTATATCTCTAAATAAATTTATTATAAAAATATATTCTATAACTAATCTAATGGTACTTACTTTGTATCATAAATGTTTACACTTTTTTATATAAATTTGGTCAAAGTTTAAACTGTTTAACTTCTCAAAAAGTGAGAATTGCATTCTTTTGTGTACGGAGGGAGTAATAAATTACGTACATAAGAGCAAAATCAAAGTATTTAAACCCTAAACTTTATTAACACCCATCCTTGTTTTTGAGCTTCATCCTTGCAGAAAAACACATCCTCTTAATTTTATAATTTTCTATTTTTATTAATTTATTTAAACCCAATATCAGTTGACCAATGTGGTTGACTCCGAGACACAACACATTGTCCATCTAGACTTTTGCTTTGTGAGTAAGGATAAAAGAGGGCATCAACACGGACAATAAGAGCAACTCTAGATTTTTGCTAAACCAATGATTTTAGTAAGTTAACAAAATAAGTAGCAACCTCAAGTTATTTTGCTCCCAATAATTTTCTATATCAGCTTCTAAACAATTTTGTATTGAGAACTCCACTACTATTTTTAACCAACCAAATCTTTTTTTAATTATTGCTTTATCTTTTACCATTTTTTCACCTTGAACCCATTTTTTCTTAGTTTACTTATGGGTTCAATTTACTCCGATCTCAACGCCAATGGAGAGCAAATACGAAGTTCCTCTCGATTGCGAAAACTTACAAGTTGGAGAGAATATTTGGCAACATTTTATTTTAAAAGCTTTTTTTACCAATCTATTGGAGGTTTTTTTCCTTTTCGCTAAAAGTCAAAATAGGAAATTGTTTTACAAAACTCTTGGAGACGCTATAAACAGAACCATACTCTACTTTTTTGTGCCACAAAAGAAACTCAATTCAACATAGTCTCGACTCGAGTCCCTACATTATAAGGCCCACCCCCTCAACCCATCTCCTAAGGGTGTGTATGGAGCTTCCTATTTTTTGAGAAATGTTTTCTCCACCAACTCACTATCACTTGTCGTTTTTTATCCTAACTCTCCCCATGTAGGCGCAACCGGATCCTATGCCGTCCCGAGTGCTCCTCGTCCTCACACCAATGTCTTTTTTTTATCTTGACTATCTCTCCTCTCTCAGCGTAACTGGCTCCTTTGTTATCTCAATTTCCGGTGCGTTTGGTTGCTCTCCTATCTCGGGTGCTCCTCACTCCCTCACGTCGCTGTCTTTTTTTCCATCCCGACTCTCACCCCTCCTGGCGTAGGCGGCTCCCCGCCATTGTGCTTCTATGACTCAGTCAATTCCCTCGCGTCCTATGTTGTCTTTGGTGCTCCTCATCCTCGTGCTCCTATAACTCAGTCCATTCCCTTGTGTACTTTGCCGTCTTCGGTGGTCCTCCCCCTCGTGCTCCTATAACTTAGTCAATTCCCTTGCATCCTCTGCCCTCTCTGGTGATCCTCGCCCTCGTGGCCATATAGCTCAGTCAATTTCCTCACATCCCCATAGCTCAGTCCACCTGGACGACGATAGTGATGGTGCTCCTCGTCCTTGTGTTCCTAAGCTCAATTGATAAGAACGTCAGTGAATATGATCGATGAGTGGTTCTCATATGCCAATGTCTACTAGAAGAAATTTGAAGTCAGTGTCTATTAGAATGGATTTGAGGGTTCTAATTTGAAGGTTTCTGTTCAAGTAGACGTAAAGAAAACATATCCTAAAACATAACGACATCTCTGAAATGAAAACTAGAAACTAGGTTCATGTCTCCGGTTGGAATTGCTTATAGCCTACGCTTTTGTAAGTTAGGAATGGAAACGAGATGGAAATTTATAGTATCCTTTGTTTTAAAAAAGTTAAAATATTAAATAGATAATAATGCATACTCACATAAATGGTTAAAATATTAAATAGATAATCCGCACATGAGTATTGTGAATTAAGTATACCTATCGTAACCAAATTTGAATTTCTAAAATACATACAAGATGTGGATGTGTAATATTTTTTTTATTGGGTACAACTTGAACGCACACAACCACACACTCCACACTCACATCACACGTACACACGTGTGCGTGAGATTGTAATGCTCTCTAACCTCCGGTGTGCGGGAAACGCGTAATACCACCGAACGGTCACGCGTGCGTGTATCCTACTTTTTCTAAAAATTAGAAAAAAGGTGCGACATGGTGGGTAGCGTCTCACTGTACTGCCCTACCACTGGACCGTAGCCCTTTTCGCTGGATGTAATAATTTTTTTTGCGACTCCGCTGGATGTAATATCTACGACAACCATTTATTGCATACTTCCCCTATTCTAAAATATGATATTTAAGCATTAAAATACGTCCGGTGTCCATTATATAAACTTCCTTGGTCTTGAAATACGAAGTCTCCAACCATTCAAATACATCCTGAAATACAAAGTCTCTGACCATTCAAATACTTCAACCCTCTTGAAATATATTCAAGATAAGGTATCTAAATATTCAGATTTGTTCTAAAGATTCTAGGTGAACAAACCCTCCAAAACGCAACATTCACATACATACCTACCATTAATATACATCACTAACAGCGCGCCTGCCTACGGATGCGCGCCGCGTGACTCCAGTCGTCCCATCCAAGAGTACACGCTTGAAACATGAAACACTCGAAACATACGTCTGAAACAGCTGAAATATTTGGAATATACACTTACAACATATGTGTATAGCCACTGCAACATATGCAACATACTGATGAAATACTTGCAACATATGTCTAAATATAGATGAAACATTCTGAACAAACACTCGCAACGTACTTGTATAGCCATTGCAATATATGTACCTCCGTATCTACTTTTGCAATGTCCATATAAAACACTTGCAACCAACGTCTGAAACACTTAAACATACGTTTGCAACATGCGCTTTCAGTGCAACATCCCCTGGCTACTTCGGTGAGCCCCCCGGCGGGCGGCACAGTTAAATGACACGCAACAGAGGCGGTCGCGACAGGCGGATGGAGGTGAACGCAGCAGGCGGGATGAGTCTAGCCGGGCGGCGCGACGAACGACACAGTGGATGCAGCTGAGGCATGTGGAAGGAGGCGCCCGCAGCGGGTGGGACGAGTCCGGGCAGGCAAGCACAGTGGAGGCAGCCACGCCAGCTGGATGGAGATGGCCGCGGGGCAACGTGAATGTGGACAAGGGGCACGGGCGAGACGATTTCAGGTAGGCGGTTACGGGGGTTGCGAGTAGTCTGGACGGATGGACGTCCTATAAAAAGCATTATTTAAAGGATAAATGCGAAGGGACCTCTTACCATATGCGGTCAAATAGTGTGTAGTCTCAATACCAAGAGTTCAAAAGGCGTCGAAAAAATAAACTATGAAGAACTCCATTACTATAACAAACTAAATAAAAACAATCTATTGTCTGGAATAGTAAAGGTCGGGATTAGAAGCAATGTAAAATTCTAAAACTGTTTAAACCTCTACTCGTAGACATGCACGTGCGGCACGCACGTGTTTAAAAATAACTGATATACAAAATGAAAAAATGACAACGGGAAAGTTTGAAAAAGTATACATCGTCCTTGCATATGGTCTTTGTTGGTTTATTTAATCCATACCTCTATTTGCTATAATTCATTAGAAATATTGATAATAATTATAGATATGATAAAGAATAATTTGAATCAGTTTTTTGAGACATTTGAGGATGCTTATTTTCAGAATAACAGATATTTTTTTAGAAAAGAGCACCCCCGCTTTTATACTTAAAATGCAACAACAGTGTATGCACAACGTTTAGGCGTGCCCACCCTAAGAAAGTCTTAGGACTGAACCTCACCAGAGTTACTCAAACTAACAGCAAAAGTACTCCTCAACTCAACGTTGACAGTAGCAGCGGCGCTGATTACCGAAACATCACTCGGCCCTAAAGTCACGGCGCTAGGAGCCAAAGGCCGAGCATCCAATTTTACCCAATCTTAATGACGAAGCCATTTCGTTCCGCGGAGGTCGCCCTGCTATGTCCTCCAGCTGTTTTGATAAACTCCTCCAAGATACTATTTCGGTGGCAACCCAAAATCTGGCCACCGACTCAAAATCATGACCAATATTAAGACCAATAGTATAAGAGATCGTAACCAGGAAGGATCAGAAACTTACAGCAGGCTGCAGCTGGCTTCTTTAAAGCCTGAATGAATAGTGCTACTGCTTGCTTTTTTGCAGCAGCAGCCAGCAGCGCAGCCCATAGAAAACAGCCATAGAAAAAAGTGAATCCTAGGTGGAACATTAAGTTTCCAGATGGCACTTACAAAAACTGGGGTAAACGCCCTATGGTTTATGACTGCATACAGAGACGGTACTGCATAAGTGCCATTAGAAGTAGAACTCCACATAATCTGCATACGGAGATTGTACTGAATGCATCCTAATAGAATGTCGTCATTAAGTCCTGACATGAGATCATTTAAGGCGCAACTTATGCTGAGCTCTACTATAACTTTGAGCCACATGCATCGCCTGAGCTTATTCGGAACTACTTTTCAGCTATGAAACAGTGTTTTGCTCTCACAATATT